CATGAATACACACATACGCAAAGCATATGTGCGTACATATATACTGGGCATATAGTATCTTGTCAAACTTTCAAGAAAAACTAGAAACATTAGTAAAAATCATGTTGGGTTATAGTTTTTCTTCTAGTTACAATTGTTTTGGTTTACAAGCGCATAAGGAAAAATAATAGTACTCATACATACGAACACATCAACTTGCATACATACACGCATACATAAAAGATGTTTTCTTGCATTTGCTTACAAACACAAATAATCTCACAAAAATATTATCATTACGTTTTACGTATAAATATATTCAAATGCAGTCAAACCTACATACACAATTAGATTTTACAATCAAATGTCGCAAGCAGAGTTTTGCAAAAAATGCCAGCTTTCAGCCAAGTCATCTACAAAATTTAGCAATTTTTTTCATCTTTAAAGAAAATAGAAAATGGTGATAAACAGTTTTTAATATGTCTGTTGACCTCCCAAACGAATTTTCCAACGGTATCAAACTTCTAGTCAAGTGTGATTAGTGAGTCATGGGAAGCATTTTTAGTGGTCAGAAGAAAAAACCAAGGCTTACTAACTTGCATTGGACGGGAAAATTTCAAAACAAAATGTTGAAAGTTTTTTGTTCGACGGTCCGAATAGAGTTTTTGACATATCAGAACTCAATTAATTCTCTCAAGTAATTATTTAGCTCTGTATAGAAAAGTTAAGACAGTGGAAGTTTTGGTTCGAAACAAAAATTTTAGCCAATGTTTTGAGATTTATAATCTTTTAAAAAAAGTTGGTTTTTTTTATTCATTCGTTGGTTCAACTGTTCTTTTTTTCATCTTTTTCCCCCGTATTTATGCAATATCGATCGTTTGAGCTATAGTATCTTAGAAAATTTTTTTTTAACTATGATAAAACTAACGGTAAACGTATGTTTTAGAGAGAACAAAATATGTTCTAAGCTGATGTTCAACTCATTTTTTCAGTAAAAAAGAAAACTTTGAAGATTTTAAGTTTGTGCAAAATTAACAACCCAATCTACTTTTGCGAATTTGAATTTTCTAGAACGATCGTTTCTTAGACATGGTTCCAAATGAAACACAATTTTTTTTAATTTTAAAGAATTGAGAGCAAAAAAAAAATTGTTCTTTTTGTTTAATTTAATTTAGATTAAAAAACAAACAGCTAAACATTAATAAATTCAACTTAGCTAGTTGAAAAAAGCAGCACAAAACACAAAACAGATTGAAAACTTTTCAATTGACGCCACGTATAACAGAGATTGATGCGTTCCGATCCTTTTTCCTTGTTTTTTGCGAGCAACTGGCGTTTACATTTGGCTAATATCGGTTGTCTGCCAACTGCACCAAGGGCTCACTGTTAGACTGCTTTCCTGCAACGAGAATAACAAGGTGAAGCTGGTGGCTCCATTTCCAGGCCGACTTGGGCCTCTCGACTTCCTGGGGAGATCCAATTTGACTCTACGAAAAAGGAATGCACTCAATAAGAAGATGAGTAAATCTATATCTTTGATTAGCTTAACTTTGGCTATTATCCGCTGAATCGATGATATAAACTCTGATGATCAAAAATTCATCTTTTCTGATGGCCTTTCAAACCAATTTTCAAAAGATATAAATGAAAAAAGATAACCCAAATGGAAAATATGTGATTTAGTGTGATCCAATTATCATTAGTTGAATTTAATTTTTGTCTTAGAAGGAAAGAAAATCTCAGTGAGCAGTCTGTCAAAAATAGTACGTTCTTGAGCGGAATCAGTCAAAACTTACACATACAGTTTTTTAAAGTTTTGCGGTAACGGAGATCAAAAACTGAATTGAAACGGGTAAAATTAAGAATCAAATGATGAAAGCACGCGCCTGCAGAGGCGTTGTTTTTGCGCTAAAAAACAGAACAAGTTTTATCATGAATTCGAAACGAAATAGCTGATAAAGGGTTTGTTTTGTATAAATCAAGACCACATCTTCTCTGACTTTTTGATAGTAATTTTATCGACTCTGCTTCTATTCTTCAAATTAAACAGTTTTGGACAAGAAAAAAAAACACAGCATAGTTTTGGGCTCACCTTCATTTTTTTGTATTCAGCTGCTAATCTAAAGTGAACTCATAAATTTCCCCATGTTTGATTGAGATTTATGATTGGGTATAGATGTCATGTCCACAACCAGAAAGATTTTCAAAAGAAACCCTTTACATTTCAACCTGGTTTAGTTTTACCGGGAATTTGTTTATCCGCTGGGAAACTTATCCAATTTGGCTACGCTGTGTATGATCTATCACCGGCTCATAAGCGAATGGTTCGAATAAACTGGAATTTCTGTATAAATGTCCGTGTTTGATTTTTTACGCGTGTTTATCGGGTATGTGTAATTGTAATTTTTTGTATAAATGTTCAGAAGTGTAACAATAGCTAAAAGTCAAGCCAAAAATCAAACTCAATGTAGCTTTAATTCCAGATTAGTGAAGAACTTCTAGAACATTTTACTAGGCGTTGTATCTGTACTATCTTCAACCAGATACTACAAAGTAATATAATTATGTGTAAATTGTGTGCATTGCATGTTCGATATTTACTACTATACGGTTTGCCTTGTATTGGAAATTGTTATATCAGAAAAGATGTACAAGCATGTTGTTCTAAAAAATTTTCGAAACAATTTAGTATAAATAATTGTTATTGGAAATAAAATTCGATGTCAAAATCAATCCAAATTCTTCTTACTACTTATCTTCTTTATTCTAGATTGTTTTACCAGATGCTTAGTGGGTACAGATTACCAATCAGGTTTGGATACGTAAAATAGTGCGTGTAGATAGGCCATTGTAATCAGGTTTTTATTTGTAAATGTAAGCACGATTAATGTCTACTTAGTATGTTTGTGGTTATATACATTTGTATATAATCATTCGTATGTTAAATTCACTTATGTGATCAAAATCATGCCATCAGAAGTGCCACCTTAAATAGAAAAACAATTCATCTCAATTTTTTTTGCTGCTCTTGATTTCTGATAGTTCACCATGTACCAAAAAATTTACAGGATACTACATTAAAACGTATTTCTATGCCTACATAGACATATAGTGTGTGACATGGTTTTACAAAACTTATCATTCATTTCTTAACCTAACTAACCTAAT